CTGGAGAAGAAATACTGGAGCAGGGCTGCTTTTCAAATATTTGACAGACAACATCTATCGCTATTGTTCTGTGACCATAAGGGGATGGAAGTCAGAGCAGTAGGTGACAACTACAGAGAGATCGATTTTGGGTGAATCTCTGAAAAAAACTTCCCAATAGTCAGAGCTCTCTAAAAAGAGCTCAGGCTGACTTTGAAGTAAGGAGCTCGCTGTCCCTGGAGGTGTTTGGGTGACAAATGGAACGATGTTGTTTTGAGAACTGGATAAGGGTTGGATTAGTAAACCTCTTATACCAGCTCTGAGAGCCTCTGACTCAGAATGGAATGCCCAGTGATCTCAAGATCAGTGAGCTGTAGGATTCCAGCTTGGAAAATGGGACAGGAAAACCAAAGGAGGGCAGAGTTGGAAGAAAGGTAGAGGAGTTCATGGTGTATGTCAGGGTGGAACTGCAGATGGGCTCTTTAGAATATGTTGGGGGAACTCTAACCACATACTGATGGAAAAATACTAACAAAGCTTATTATGAACAGTGCCTATTTTTCTTCTAGAAGGTTCAGATAAGGTTGTGCATGTGTATGTGTGTGTATAACATGCTAAGACCAGAGAAAAATATAAGCAATTTAATGAATTATTTCTGAATATTACCTAATTACCAATTGTTTCCCTGTTTCTATCTGGATTATCCCATTTGTAAAGGACCATGTGTTTGGATTTCCACAGTTATGACTGATTTTAATGTTGTACATTTCTTATCCAGGATCCAGATATGCAAATATTCTCATATGCTAACATCTCCAGGAAAACCCTCAATTAAATAAACTTACAACTTTGAGAAACAGCTGTAAAATAGGTGCCTTTGACAGCTGTCCTTCCTTGTGCTTATAGATTTTGTTTATCATGTTCAATCTTGAACTTGGCTATGAGATAGTGAAATTAATACATTCCTCTAGGGTATGGAAAATTGTACTGCCAACAGATGTGGTGATTCACTGTAGGCATGTACTGTGGCCCTGAAGACACACCCTTCTCCTATAGATGTCAAGGCTGGACCTGGGGTT